GAGAACAACTTTTTGGAAAGCAAGGCAATGCGAAATTGAATGGAAACGTCAGCTCTACTCATGTGATTGTGGGAAAATTCTACTACCAGTCCTTCATCACCTTAAATTAAATTTGTTGAATACATCTCATATTACTTATTTACTCGTAGTCTCGAAACTCTACTTTGATATGGAAAACGAGGTGATACTTGCCTACCTGCATCCGCCAGGCGCTCATGTCGCCCGGTTGCTCGTCGAGGAACGCATCCAACGGCCTTGGAGAAGTGGCCGGATGAGAAGCCAAGGAATAACGAGCCCTCGGAGGCGGAGAAGCGTCGATCATCTGTTCAGGAGACTGGTCTATCGGAGATCTGGACGTGGGTTCACAGACTCTGGGACAACCTACGATCTCGCCTCGACGATAATGAAACGAGCCTGAAGCACTCCTGCCCTTTCCGAGCTCCAGGCCTGGAGGACGGACGACCAGAGAACTGTGCTGTCGTCGAAGTCCTACACGACGGCCCGATTGGTTGTCTGTCTGGCCGGTTGGCTGGACGGGCGGTTCTCGGACGTTTGACGGTTGCGATGGACCGAAAAAGTGTTGAGTCAAATTCGACGGTTGCAGAAGCGGCCTCATCTGTTGCAGACTTGGAGAGGCGGAAGGTGGCGCTTTCAGCTCAGATTCTCGCCCAGGCCAAACGGCCGAGGAGCCCGACAACCGATTCGAGGCGTCGCTGGGTCGGGTCGGTCGGCCAATGTCGTGAAGACCAACTGTTTCGTCAGCAACATCCAGCGGCATCACACCCCTCCAGCCAGGACTGATGCCTATGCCATGCGGACTAAATGCAACCGGGATAGTTGACCTGGTGGTGACTGGGCTCATGGTCACAGGTGGAGGGTTGCCGATGGCGGTGTTGGCGTTGCCAGGGCTTTTCACGGCAAATGTTCTTCGTAGATGCCACCATAACGCATCTATTTCGGCCTCAGTCGGAGTTCGCTTCATCTCAACCACTTCGTTAGGCAGCTGACAATGAGTAGATACGAAGAATAATTGGGTTTTTATGAATATCTTGACTTTGGAGAATTTTATTTGATAGGAGAGTGCATGATGAAGAGATTCGTAGACCCATCTCACCAAATGACGCATCCACGAAATGTCCTCCTTAGTGCCACATGACTTATATCGTCAGAGCTGAAGCTCATTCTTGCACAAGCTTCAAGTTTCCACAAACTCAAGAGGATTTTTCAGATCTATCCCACTGGCAAACATTTTTGGTTTAGTATTTTGCTGCACTTTTGCATGGATGATGCTTTCTGGTTCTGACCACATCTATCACATGACAGACGAAATGTCGGCACAGGTTCATCGGAACGGCAGGATGGTGAACCGAGCTTCTTTTCTCACAATTCAACGGTCACAACTCAAAGGAAAAATCTTTCTTCGGTTTCTGGTGAGGCGAATTTATAAGTCCCTTTTAGACGAGATTAAAGAATTGCCAACATCAATATCAGTTTCTCTTAATCGGTACATAATGATTTATTTGATCCAGTTTCGTGTGTCAATGTGCTTGGGTAGGATTACGTGAGAATCAATTCTAGTGTTGTGGAGACTTAAGCTCGTATGAAAGTGCAGTGTGACAATATTCTAAGGTCGATCTCATGGGAAGACGAAAGCTGACTCTTATTGTTCTACAGCCGTTTGGCTTTAATCCGAACTTTAAGTTGACGCAGTCTATCAAGCATTTTTCATTGTTTGGGTAGCAAATGCTTTGAGCTTTCGTCCATCAGGCCACATGGTAGATGTCGTCAAAGCTGAAAGGTATAGCTGCATTATTACTCCGCAATTGTTAGTTGGATAAATTGATGCCTATTTTGTCAGTTGACAGCATGGCAAGGGCGATTTAAATAGTTTCCTACTTTCACATACACAGCCTGAGGGAACTATTAAATTCACAATGGAATTAGAAGAGAATAAGAATATACCTATTTTGGATGATATGGATGTCAAGGAAAGTGCTAAGTTATACAGAGAAGTTGATAAGAAACCAGTACATGCTGAGCCTATTCCGAATTTTTTTTCTAACCATAGTTACAAAACTAAAGTTTGAATTCTAAAATCTATGATTATTAGGAGAATGATGTTTGAGGATTGGAATCATAAGACCGAAGAGTTAAAAAGGCCGAAACATTTATTCCTGGGAAATAATTATCCTTTGATAATAATATCTCTTTAATAGTGAACAAATTTTGGGACGTTAACTAATTAATCAGAGATAGATAGGCTGACACTTTTTCTCGTGTTCCGATCTAGCTGTTATAAGTAGATAGGGAAAGTGGTGAAGAAGTGAGGGATAAAAACAGTTTTCATAGAAACCCCGATACTTTATTCACACCGAAGTCATAACCAAATCCTGCTAACATCTAATCGCATTACGATCACATCTCACTTGAACTCCACTCATATTCCCATTTCCACCCATTGGTGTGCTAATCACAGTTTTATCACACTTCAGTCGTGCATACGAAAAACAGAATTTGTAAGGTTTGCGCAAAGAGCTCATGGAAGGATGGCAAATCCAAGTCAGCCTGTACGAATTCCCAACTCTGCACGATTGGCTTACGTTAGACGAGCAGGTGTAAACATAACAACATTAAACCACAAATAGAAAGAAGCTGGCAGAGAAATTGGCAAAAATGTCTTAGAGTTAGCCAACTTGGTAAGGCCGTAAAAGTAGATATTTGGAAAAATCAACCATAGCCATCCCGGCAAAGGCTCAAGGACAGTCTGTAAAAACACTCTTACTAGTCAAAATTTAAAAGCACTAACTTCGCAATAATACCCTAATAATACATCGCATAATTTCACACTCATATGTATGAAACTATTGCATATATACGTATGTATCTAAGGCCACATGTGAATGTATGTATATCACTAAGCTGGCTGTCGATGCAAAGGGCGTGAACAAACTTGCAAATATATTCATGTAGAACTGCTGATGAATGCAGAGCCTCGTACATTTACGCAGCAGAAAAGAACAGGCCTGAGGTAGAGCGTGAGGCAGGTTGATCAGAATCTCTCTGTTGTCAACCAAAAAAGGGCACAATAGTGCTTCGGAAGCGTTCCAATCCGACGGAGAATGGCCCACTGCTAAGTGCGAGGCCTTTGGGAACTAGAAGACCATCAAAGAAAGGTCTGGCGAAACGGATTGTGCAATAAAAGCTCGTTGCTGAGGGCCAGTCTAGGTCGCCTAGGGATTGATAATGGAGTTTGAGATGAGTTTCATTGAGTTTCACTTAGCCTTGCCTCCTAAAAACATGTAATCTAAGACGGGATGACTCAACTCTCGGTCCTTGAATCACCTTATGCAACCAAGAGTGACTATAAAAAAATTCAAGGATTACTGATAGTCTCAAAAAGTACAAATATTGAAAATATGCAATGCCATAGATTTGGCCATTTCATTGTAAAAATGTGAGTTAAGAGATATTTTGGCTAAAATTGAATGTCCTATCTGTCCTGTCATCCACTGGCACCCGTTGTAATGCAGTGAATTGGTAAATGTCGCTACGATAATTACGACCCAGATTCAATTCCAGCTGGGCGTGCTGCTAAAACTTAGACGAGTTAAAAACTGCATTCTCTTCTGGATGAGATAACATTTTTGGCGATAAGGCTAAGTTACATTAAATGATATCGTATTGTGGGAAAAATTCAACTATCATTTCTTAAATCAGTGGTTCCCAAACTGTTCCTAGTCGCGGCGTCCCTTTTCAATTGAAATTTTTCCATGGCGCCCCATCCTAAGTATGACTATTCGTAAGTAAGAGATAAAAATAAATAAAATTCGTCTATCTTCATTATTTTTCATTACTTTATTAGCATTAAATTAATATTTAATAATTAATGTGATGGATGAGCCTGCAAATCATTGCACATTTTCTCAAATCGTGGAATTAAACTGGACACGGCC